CTTCAGTGAAACACTCTGAGGTACTACAGATAATAGTGGACCACCTACAGTTTGCACTGGTCTGTTGTTGGATAAAGTTGACCCAAACAGATCAATAATCAAGTGCTGTGCCTCTGTGGAGGCTGCTCTCCTGGTTTTGAGCTGCAATTAGCCGAAACATGTTTATGAAGTTTGCGAAATAGTTGCAAATCAAATGTCCAAAATTTTCCATTTTGTTTCTATCTACACGAATATGGAAAACAAAAAAGTATTCAGTCTTAGGATGAAGTAAAAGCGAGAAGTTTTCATTTTCTTAAGAACTCTAAAAACAATTCTTTCTTTAAAAAGACTTGTGGGAAGTCTGAGTGCTGTCCTGGACTGTGTCACGATAACGCCAGGCCGCTGCTACAGCTGTTGAGCTCTCATTACCTCCATAATAGCAGCATTAATAGGACATAGAGACATAGTAAAAGTTAAGTACATGAATGTAAACACAGACAAACCACAAGGATTATGTAACAGAGAGTCATCAAGAGGATTATGTGACAGACGTGGCAGATAATCAGAGGGATCCTTTTTTTCTCTGTAGCTAACAGCAGGGACACTACTGGTATTATTATACTAGTAGTATAATAACAGTTTTAGCTGCAAGGCTCTGTAGTTAAGTACACAGTTAAATGGATCGGGTTGTTTAATTAACCAAGAGCTTATTTTGTGTCTGTGTAAAACTGTGTGTATAAGCACAGAATTAGGGATGGGAATTAATAAGAAAATAGCGGTTCCAATTCCATTATCAATATCACTTCATGGATTCCATTCAATTCCTGGCTTTTTTTTGGCTCTGCTTTAAGAATCACCACCATTGCTAAACAGCATATCAAAGACATCACGTTCACTCTAATTAATTGCATGCTGTGTGCATAATGTATTACATATTTTACACAGAACACTGTGTAACACACACAAAGTTGTGTTAGCAGCATAATGCAGTTGTTTTTGTCCTAGTCATGAATTTATTAATTTTATTTGGAAATGCAATAAAAAAAAAAATTCCGCTGTCCAAAGTTGCTCCAGAAACCCCCCACACAGGATTGAACCAGCTGAAGGTGAAATGATGTCCACAAAGCAGGCTGTGATGGGAGCACAGTGAGAGCTGCACGTAGGCTTACACAGAACAGCTGTTCTGATCACACAGTATGTGGCACTGCTGGTGGATCATGCTCTGTTTTCTGTTTACTGCAGAAGTTCAGTAGCATTGTTGCATTTTTCTCACAATTGCTTATTAATTAGTTGTGTTGGAGCACGCATAATTAACATTTTCTCTCTCAGAATCATTTCAACAAGTAAAGCATAGTTTCTGACATCACTGAGATTTCTATGAAGTCTTGTCATAGCTTGTTTAAGACTACTTTTGATAAAAAGGTATTTGTTATGTGTTATGGCTTGAGAGTGAATATTAAATGTGAAATTTCCACCATGACATGCGGGAAAGTCACCACATGTACTGTTAGTTAAATGGTACAGTATTATCAGTTTAAAACAATAACGTACACACACACTCACACACACACGCACAGTTGTCTGAAATGATGCATCCTCTGTATCACTGTATTTATATTAAAAAAAAAAAACTTGCCAAGAAACAGCTGGGGTTCTTGACAGAGTAGGGCTGTGTGTCTGTGTGTGTTTGTGCATTTTTGTGTGTTTGACTGTGTGCGAGCGTGACAGAGCAGCTGATCTTTTCCTGGCTGTTTCTAATTTGCACATCACCATAATGTTTTACAATCCCACTTTCAGTAAGTCCCTCCTCTGTCTCAGCTTAATGCTGTTTTAACTCTGAGCAGACTTGAGGAGCACTGAGCCAGCCAGTCCCTTTGGTGACTGAGCAGTGTGGGGACCTGTGTGGGAATAAAAGCTACTTTCACCTGCTCCTTATTCAGAAGGGTATCGCCACTGCGGGCTTGCCTGCATGTTTGATTTGGCAGTGTTTTTGCACTGGGATGCCCTTTCTGAGCCAACCCCAAAGGGATTTGTGTCTACCTCCAGCATTGAAGTAAGGCTCTTTTGCTTGTTAGGCAAATGTGAAAACCACTATGAGAATAAACAGGGTCAGTTTTCTCTCTGGAATACTGATTGATGGGTGTAGTGTACTGGCCAGTGAAATATCAATATGAAAGCAGGGGGATCCCAGGGGGACTATTCTATTCACACATCATCACAGCTGAGAATTTGTATCTTTTTTATTGTATTGATAAGCCATTGTATCGTATGGATCTTAATGATCTTCTAGAACCATATCACCCCATTACAGCTCTTTGCTCTCACACTGCAGGCTTACTTGTTGTTGTTCCTAGAGTATTTAAAAGTAGAATGGGAGGCAGAGCCTTCGGTTTTCAGGCCCTACTTCTGTGGAACCAGTTTCTAGTTTGGATTCAGGAGACCGACACTATCTCTACTTTTAAGATTAGGCTTAAAACTTTCTTTTTGGTAAAGCATATGGTTAAGGCTGGATCAGGTGACCACGAGTCCTCCCTTAGTTACGCTGCAATAGGTGTAGGCTGCTGGGGAATTCCCATGATGCATTGAGTACTTCTGCTTCAGTCACCTCCCTGAGCCTGGTTCTGCTAGAGGTTTCCTCCTGTTAAAATGGAGTTTTTCCTTCCCACTGTCGCCAAAGCACTTACTCATATGGAGTTGTCTGATTGTTGGGTTTTCTCTGTATTATTGTAGGGTCTTTACCTTACAATGCAAAGTGCCTTGAAGCCACTGTTGTTGTGATTTCATGCTATGTAAAGAAAACTGAATTGAAACTAGTTTGGCATTCTTCTAAAGACTCAGTAACACAGGCCCAGAGACTGATTAGCAACCACCTGGTACCATAATTACCAGTTACAAGAGAAAAATAAATATTACTTGACCAAATGGCAAGATGTTGCTGGCAGTCGCCGTAGAATCAATTACTAAAGCCTTATTCACACAGGTCTAAAGACCCGTCAAAGACCCTGGAAACTGCTGCCCACTAGTGACTATTCCACAACTGGTTGGTGAGAGGTTGCTGGAGGTTGGACTGTCACTAGAGTGAAATTGGTTGCAAACAGTTAAACACTTTCAGTAAAACCCCTCTTCTGCCTCCTTTTAAATGTGAGCAGACTTGAGGAGACGCTGCATCAGCATCTTCTGTGACTGAGCTGCAGATAGAGCTGTGAGAATGAAATGGGTCAAATCTCTCTCTAATGTACTGACTGATGTCTGTGCTGCTCCCCCCACTTTTCTTCTTCTTCTTCTTTCTGTGACTGTAAGGTTCAAGTAACTAAGCAGTGAATATTTCAGCTCTTCATCCAGATGCGATGCTCACAGGAAAGGCAGCTGATTATATTGCTGAGTGTATAATTGGTAATTAAAATGTTTCCAAAAGAGAAACTTATAAATGGAATTAGTCTACGACTCATTATAGGTGTGTCCCACAAACGGAATGTGAGTCTGTGGGAAACACTGCTCTGGTTCACATAAAGCGACCCTGCACACCTGTTTCTGATACTTTTGAGAATGTAAAGTGCAGACAAGCAACGTTGGAGGGAGAATGGGGTAGGCGGGGTATGATTATGTCATGTGCTACAATAAAAGTTTAAACATAGGCCTGACTGTTCTGCATGCGATTGATCACAGAAAGTTAAAAACATTCATCTGTAATATATGCAGTGATGGTTGAGATGGTCTTCTAACTACATCACTAGATGCAAATAGCAACATCGTCCCAGTTATCTGGAGCTGAGCTTTACTGCTTGGGATATTGTGGATTTGTTTGCTGGTTAAAGAGAAGAGCACCGGTTGGTCTGCAGCTTCATAACATTTCAGCAAACTTAATCAGACTTCAGATGTTGCAAATAAAAGTGACCTACAGGTGACCTAGTTCCTTTAGGGTATGAAGGATGTTATTAAATTTCACTAACCTATTCCTGCATGCCATATCATTATCCTGGGGATCAGGTTCTCTCTCTGTCTCCCATTCTCAAGCTTGTTACCCACCGAAAGCCTCACTGCCACAAGAACCTATTGATTTGAATTGTTAGCAATGGTAACAACTTATCTCAGGTTATCTTGGTGCCAGTACAGCATTTCTTCCTCATGCTGTGATATATTTGTACATTTGCATCACAGGTTTTAGACGTTTAACTCGAAGTCAAACATAAGCCGCTTAAACTATCTAAACCTACCCGAGCATTAGTAAACCCACTGTTTTGCAAAGCAAATCTGTAGAACCTGAGGGATATGCTTCTATTTGAATTTTCTCTCATCTGCTATTCCACAGCCTTGTCATGAAATCCCAGTGGCCTGCAGCTTTGCTGCAAACAACCTTATGGGATTCTGCTTTGATGAGGTGCAACTTGCACCCACTAACAGAATTATAAGTGCTGGCAGAATTTATGATGGACTGTAAGGCAAAAGAAGTTTGGCTTACAAAACACACGCGGAAGTAGGAACAGGAGATTTTAAGCCTGTACTGTGCTTACAAGACTTTTACCACTTCCTTTGATTGATACGGCTTTGTTGGGTTGATTACAGCTGCTTATTTTTTCAGCTGTGCGTTCCCTTGAATACTATGCCAAAAAGCTACATCACAGGAGCCTGTAATTCCAAGCTGACCTAACATGGAGAGCGAGGGCACGTTATATTGCTGTTTATTGGGAGAACATACTGTACAGTGCTTTGCTGTAGTTAATCCTCGGTATTAAAACAAACTGATTCGGCCAAGTTCTTGTTACAAAGTTTCTTTTGGTCACAGAATAAATTTGTTGTATTTAATGATTCAGTAAATTTTCTAACTCAGCTGATGTCCTGAACTGGAAAAACAGAAACTTAATGAGCATTTAGCAAAGGTCAACTCACTCTTATCCACTTAGACTATTCAGTGTCATTCCAGTGTCATCTTATATATAAGAAGGGCCTTTTTTATGAGGACATTTTATTACATTTTAATGATTATCTAATGTTAATGTTTAATTATTTGCTTTCCATTGCAGGTCTGCAGTTTGTAAATCATCGTCCAGCTCTGAAATGGCTGACAGGAAGTTGGATGGCTTTGGACAGATTTGGATGGTAGCGCTTATACTGCTGTGTAATCCAGCAGCGGTAGGTCAGCCAAAATGCACACAAGACACAGTTTAGTTCTTACTGATCTAAATTTCATAAATACAGCAACCACCTTTAATTCTACCTCAGAGAGTTATGTACTGCTAGGCTGTTTATGTTTGATGTTATCCTTTAAAGGACAAAAAATGCAGCTTCAGGTTGGTGTTTGGACACATCTGTGCACCAATACTTAGGCATAGATGTCATAGTTTCCATGCAGCGCAACTGACTTTAATGAATCACTAAGTATGACTCCCTTTTCCTGCATTTGGTAGTATGTGTTGACTGTTTTAGACTAATGCATCACCAGAGGGTTCGCAAGTACATAACCAAAGATGGCTCAGAGACATCTTTACTCATTTTAAACATAACCAACAGTACTTTTTGTACCCTCTCACTGAGCGAGAATTTATACACTTGTTTCTTTTACTTGGTTTCTGTTGCACTGTACCATAACATATCTCTCATTCTACTTTGTAAAGCTTAAAAAAAATGAGTGGATTTCTACTTTTTCTCACCTGTCTTGTAGTTTATGGTGAAGGCAAGTCTGGCGATCAATGAAACCCAGCAGCAGGCTTCAACCAGTGTCTACAATGACATTACGGTCACCAGGAACAAGATAGTCACAGCCCAGTTTGAGTGCTATCAAAAGTTAATGAAAGAAAATACCCACAGCAGACAAGGTAAAGCTGTCTTGATTGAAATTGGTTAAGAGAACCCTAATCTATTCCTTAATTCTTAGTTTGCAATGTTCCAAATGTGAAGAGCAAAAAAGCTCTTAAAATGATGTCTGTGTTTTTAGAACCTGTGTGCAATCGCACGTGGGATGGCTGGCTTTGCTGGGATGACACCAAAGCAGGAGTTACATCCGAGCAGCACTGCCCGGACTACTTCCAGGATTTTGATCCATCAGGTGAGATCTGCAGCTTCCAGCAGCCAATTTTCTTCATCCACCTGCAGATTTACAGATGACAAGTTACTCTGATGATTATTCCTTGTTGTGGCTTTCAGGTCCTCATTCATAACTTTGAAGGCCTTTAGTAAAAAAACAAAAGCCCAAACCAAGATAACACTTATTATATCACCAAGGTTAAAGCTCTCCAGAACCACAAAAGGTATTATGTAACAGATTTCGCAGGCTGAGAGGAGCTCTTCATGATTAATGACTGTTCTTCATGTATAAATTTGCTTCACCTTTTAGCTTGAATCTTTCTAAGTGAAAAAAGCAAAGACTATACCTCACACTATGCTCACACACTGAATGTAAATACCAATTACAGCAAATGGCCATGAAGCAGAAAAGCTCTGTTCTCAGTATTAACACAGGATTTGTAATGTTTAGTGTATTAAATGTGTATTAAATCACTGACTTCAGCTCCTTCTGTTAATGAGGCAGGGTTTTTGTGTGTGTGATTATTAACTTATGCGTGTATGGAGTGGTGTAAATACATCACTGTTTATTACAGTAAATTTGATTTAAGCGTCCGGGGACTTCTTAACCACATTCAGTCAACCGCAACCGTCAACAGGATGTGCAGGCTTATAATTAGATTTCATTCTTCTAATTGACATTTTCATTAGCTCCATCCATAATGATGTTTTTCTTTTTCATCTGCCTTTACCTTCTACTGGAAAAATCAGAATAATACATTTAAATTATTTACCACTTTTTGTTCTGCAGAGATGGTCACAAAGATTTGCACTGACAGTGGTCAATGGTTTCTGCATCCGGAGAGCAACAGGACATGGACCAACTACACCCGCTGCAATGAGCACACTGTAGAAGGCAGAATGGTAGGTTGAAAATGGCAGTAGGTAGGACTGAGTTTATATGTTAGATAATCAACAATAGGAAAAGTATGGCTTTGATGGCCATGTGATGTGGTTGTGAGGGGCTCTGCACGCTCTGAACACCACAGCATGTCTGCTTGGTGACCAAATACAGGCTGGAATTTGTTCTGCTTTGGCCCAATTTCCCCCCCTTTTTTTTGGACACAAGGAGAAACTATATTATAATTGCACTGTACTATAATTTCCTGTAACTGGTTCATAAAAAAAACCCATCAGCTTGAAATTATAAATATTAAAAGACAAATGGAACATTTTCAAGAGCCTTTCAGTGCAAATGCTGAGATGTATGTTGATGCTTAGTCAAGTAGCCATTTGGAGAAAGATAATGAGATTACAGCCTGATAACCTAATTTCCATCTGTTGTTTCTTTTCAGACTGCAATGAACCTTTTCTACCTTGCCCTCATAGGACATGGGCTGTCTCTGACTTCCCTCCTCATCTCCCTAGCAATTTTTTTCCATTTCAAGTGAGTCAACTTCTGTTACATGAGCGACTTCCATAGACGGATGCTTCTCAGTCTGTGCATAACATAAAAGCGTTGTGGCATAACTTCAGTTTTCTGTTTTTCCAGGAGTTTGAGCTGTCAAAGGATCACCCTTCATAAGAACCTCTTCTTCTCTTTTGTTCTGAACTCTGTGATCACCATCATTTTGCTGACTGCAGTGGCCAACAACCAGGAGCTCGTGCAGAGGAATCCAGTCAGTTTCTTATTATTTGTATTGATTCACTTGACTGTAGCCTCACAAATGTCTCTATTAGTTTAATGTGCACCATTACACCGGTCATTCTAGTTTAATATTAAACATAAATCAGTTGCTATAAATCCACATTTATTATGTGTTTTCCTTCCTCAGACAAGCTGTAAAGTGTCCCAGTTTATTCACCTGTACCTGTTTGGCTGTAATTACTTCTGGATGCTGTGTGAGGGGATATATTTGCACACTCTCATCGTGGTGGCAGTGTTTGCTGAGAAGCAGCATCTGATGTGGTACTATCTCCTAGGATGGGGTAAGAAGAGGATATCAGTCAGCTAATCACTACATTTTTCTAACTGAAGGGTCTTTCTTTACCTAACTTGCTCACTTTGTTTTGCAGGCTTTCCTCTTATCCCAGCCACCATACATGCCGTCGCTCGGAGCTACTACTACAACGACAAGTGAGTTAACGCCAATGCTTGTGCAAGAAGTTCTCCTGTATAATATTTTTTTAAGGAAACCCACCGATTGCTGTGATAGATTTGCTGTTATGTGATGCAACGTTACTGTTGTGTAAACCTTTTTTGTACTGCTCTCCTCTGCAGCTGCTGGATTAGCTCAAAAACATCACTGCTCTACATCATCCACGGCCCCATCTGTGCTGCTCTTTTGGTAAGAATACTACTTCTTTTCTTTCCTAACTCCAATCAGTTTCAACAAGTAATTCACTATATATCTATTTACTAGAATAAACCAGCTGATTTGTTTCATGTTTCTCTTGCCACACTGTTTGTTGCGCAAAGAGTACAATAAGCTGCTTTTGTCCTCCTCTGAGTGGACTCTGTGGGGGGTCCTGTGAGCAGGACAGTCTCAGAACATGCATAAGTGTGTTTGTCTTGTGAAATCAATGCATCTTCCCCTTTGAGAATCCACCCACTGGTCCCCAAGCTTATGTTGTTTTCTAGGAATTCACCTAATCAGCACATTGGAGCATGCTTCAGAGAACACTGGTCCCTTAGGACAGTCTGTACTAAATGTTCAGCCTCCAACATCCTTTAAAATGTTATGTGTAGGTTTCCTAACCTTACCGTGTATCAGAAGTAGACTCGGTGTCTTATAATACTGCAGTAACGGAACTGAAGACTTTCTCGGCTTATTAGAAAAAGCAAACATTCCTCTTTGATTTTTTTGTTAACACTTGTCTTGTTAGGATTGACGGGTTTAAAGAAATGATGCCTAAAAGAAGCTTTGTAGTCTCTTAATAATTCAAATACAGTACTGTGCAAAAGTTTTGATTTCTTTATCATTTGCTTCCAATGAACTAGAAGTACTTGTAATATTTTAGAAGTGGTCTTAAGCAATAGTTCTCCGGGCTGAACGTCTTTCAACATTTTCAGTCCAGTCCTTGTACCAGACTATTTTCAGAGGAATCGGCATGATGTGCATTGTGCCCTTAAAAAAATCTGAGGAAACTCCTCAAGAGGAGGACAAAAAAGTATAACCTACAGCAAGTAAACGGTGTCTAACAAGCATGTCACCAATAAAGATTTTCACCTCTTATAAGAAAGTGCCATACTGCTCTTTATGCTCTTATACTTGAGGCATTGCTTGTTTTCACATCCTATCAAAATACTAGACTGTAATGCTGATTTATATATGACTTCCCCCTTTAGGTTAATTTGTTCTTTCTACTCAACATCGTGCGAGTTCTCATCACCAAACTGAAGGTGACCCATCAAGCAGAATCAAGTCTGTACATGAAAGCCGTGAGAGCCACGCTCATCCTGGTCCCTCTGCTTGGAATTCAGTACGTCCTGCTTCCCTACAAGCCAGAGGGACGGGTCTCTTCGGAAATATATGACTACATCATGCACATACTCATGCATTACCAGGTGAGACAGCAGTTATTAATCAGTGTGAAGGTTTGAGGGGATTCTCGTCATTTCTACACATTCATATAAAGCATAGAAAGCCGACTGCCTGTGGCATCTACGGCAGTCTTTAACTGTTCTGTTTGTGTAGTTCTGTTGTCATTCTATCATGCATATTTATTTTATTATGAAAATTGATTGCTTTGTCTCCTTCGGTGCTTGAGACATGTATTTTAATAAAATCATTTGTTAAATGGACATTAACCTCATTGTTTTCTAGCTTTTAACAAGAGTCAAACAGTCTCATTAGCCAGAGAAAAGACTTTGTTTGTCTAGCCCAGGCAAGAACAGCAGGAAGTAAGGCACAAATTATTTGAGTTGAAAGAGACTGAAATCCGTTGGATGTTGATGAAGCGTTATCTGATCATCTTGAGCTGTCCCAGTGTGCGCAGTGCAGGGAAAATGTCTTGAGTAACAGCCTGAATCAGCTTTCAAAATGTATTCACTTTGACCTCTTAAGTTTCCCTGCTTCACAGCACTTTAGACCCTGAGATGTTGTCTACAAACGACTTTCCTGAGACCAATTAGTAAGCTGTATGTCATCTCTCTTTTAATGTGTTTCTTTTTTTCATTCCAGGGTCTGCTTGTGGCCACCATCTTCTGCTTTTTCAATGGAGAAGTAAGACGGGGTTATGCCCTTTTATTATTCTTTTTTTTTTTTTTTTAGATATTTCAACACGTGTACACACCCTATCCCACACTTGTGCTAACCTCATGGTTGAGAAGGGTCATGCGTTGACAGGGTCATTGCCCTGGTGCTACTCTTCCAATGTTGGGGAAACTAATATGTAGTCATAACATTTCAGGCTACCAGCTTGATTACACTGAATGAAATTACAGCAAAGATACCCTAGAGAATAATCTAGCATGTTAAATTAAAAACTCTTGGAATGGGCTGTCCAAAGTACACCTTTGTTCAAAGGTCTTACTTTTTTGTCAGACCAAAAAAAAAAGAAAATGCTGGTGATGCAAAAGTTTAGGAATGTTACCTTTCATTTTCTACAACCCAAGAAACTTCAGTCCAGGTCAGCGAATTACTAAAGTAGCTTACATCATCTTTGGGCATTTAGTAATAAATAGTAAAAATAAATCAAAACCTATGATTCTGGATGTTTGCAAATGCATTGTTTCTACTTGCTTTCCCTGTGGTTACAACTGAAAAAAAGGAGCTTACGGTAGATTAAAGGAAGGTCAATTACAGCAGAGAAGCAATTTTTCAATAAACATTTTAAAATAAAATCACCCGAATCTATGCCCCAAGCTGGCTTGTGCTTACAGCTGTTGAGTAAAGACAAAAGTCGGACTACTTCTCCAGCATTGCTCTCCAAAGACTGAAAATTATGCTGCTAGCAAGCAGCCATGAGCTACATGCTGATTACTGTCAATTTTGCAGGCAATTGGTCTGCAGAGAACTTGACTTGAAGTGAATGGTTTACAAGATCCACTAAGTAACTTCCCTTTGATATTTATCTCGTGATTTTACTGTCATAGTGTGTCCTAACCCTGTGCTCATTATACGCTCAAAGAAAAAGTGGCATTGTTATTTCTGTACTCAGAAACACTGACTCAGTAAGGCACAATAGAACGACACTTTAATCAAAACACGTTTTTCTCAAAGAGAGCTTCAGAGAGAATTTACAGTGAAAGATAAACAATGCTATGTGAAGAAATGGATCATGCATGTTCCAGGGTTTGCTTTCAGGAGTGCCTCAACTATTCATGAAATAGATACACCAGTGTGCTGGAACCATCACACAGCTGCTGCAGACTTGTTGCTGCACATCCATGATGTGACATGTCCTGCCACATCCGAGAGGTGCTCTGTTAGACATAGATTTGGTGAATGTGGAGGCCATTTCAGTACAGTGAACTCATGTTTACTTTGCTAGAAGCAGGCATTAGGAGACGGTACACTGTGGCAATAGAGGGATGGGGATGGTCAGCAACAACAGTCTGGCTGTGAAATTAGCACCAAGGGGCCCAAAATGTGACAAGAAAGTATATCTCACTCCATATCTCAGACCACCACCAGCAGCCTGAATTGTTTGCATGCTTTCATGTTGTTTA